CCCTCTCTTCTTATCAGCTGGATGCTTCGTTCTCCACTCTAGGCCTCTGTGGCTATGTCACTGACTCTGGGCCCAGGAGTCTCCAAGTTTGCCAAACTGTTGGCCAACCAGGTCTCCACCAGGGTTCACAGGAGTGTACTGAACGTGATTGACCTTAGCTTCATTGCTGTTTTTCCCTCACTTCCCCTTACTGGTGACCAATGTGTTATTCAGTCAGATCACATGTCTGCGTGTGTATTCCCATTTGAGTCTTAGTCTTGGAATGGTGTTTGCCCTGAGGGGACCCGACTGCGTGCCTTGATGTCTCCTGGGCGAGCAACTTGCTTGTTCTTGTAGTAGTCAGTTGGATTACCATTATTGTTTTGTATTTTTCCTGTCTTTCTTTCAAGCAGTATCTTCTGTTCTTCTAGCCACTCCAGGCTGGTCTGTTTGTCCTTCCAGTGGAGATTTCCCACTTCAGAAGATTCTGAATTGCATTCAGATTCCACCTATGGTCTTATGTAATGCAGAGGCTCTACAGGAAGCCTCCTTCACTGGGTACGTTGTAGCCCCATTTTAGGTATTTCAATCAGTTACAGGCAGAAGACAGACTTACAAACTTTCTATGGTGATATTTCTGGCTATTCCTTTCTCTCCCCCTTAAGTGTCTATTTTATAATGCTATGCCAGGGAAACCAAGATTCAAAAGACAGCCAAGCATCTTAACATTATTTCCCCCCTTTTGCTCATTCCAACCATGTCTCAATCCCTGTATCCCAAAGCCCTGTTGTTCTAAGATTATGCATAACATCATTATTTACCTCTGTCCCACTTAGCCCATGCAAACCTGCCTAATTGTTTTCCCATCCTCCTTGTTGTTCATTCCCCTCCCCCTTCTTGTGTATTGCCCCCAAACTATCCTGTGTCTAGTCTCTACCCTGTACTCCACCTTCCCCTCCCTCCGCTCACCCCACATCCCAGCAACCAGCAAAGAATCCCAACCCCCTTTATATGGGTTCTTTTTCTTAGTCTTTTATAATAGTGGTCCTGTGCTGTATTTCTCCTTTTATGACTAATTTCACTCAACATAATGTCCTCAAGGTTCATCCATGTTATGTGATAGCTTACAACTTCCTTGTTGTTCTTCAAGGTAGCATAATATTCCATTGTGTGTATGTACCACAGTTTATATCCATTCTTCAGTTGATGGGCGCTTAGGTCTCCATCTTTTTACTATTGTAAATAGTGCTGCTATGAACATTGGTGTGCATATATCTACTTGTGTTATGGCTTATATTTCTTGTGGGTAAATACCAAGTAGACGAATTGCTGCATTATAAGGTATTTCTGTTTCTAACCTTTTGAGGAAACGCCATATTGCTTTCCAGGGAGGTTGGACCATTTTGCAGTCCCACCAGCAATGCAGGAGTGTCCCAGTCTCTCCACATCCTCACCGACATTTATTGTCCTCTACTTTTTTGATTTTTGCTATTATTGCTGGTGTGAGATGATATCTCATTGTTGTGATTTGCATCTCTAATAGCTAGCGATCATGAACATTTCTTCATATGTTTGTTGGCTGCCCAAATCTCTTCCTTGGTGAAGTGTCTATTTGTCTTTTTCTTGTAGAGATATTGTTGTTGTTGTTGTCAGGTGCCATCGATTCGGAACCGACTCATAGCGACACCATGCACAGCAGAATGAAACAATGTCCGATCCTGGGCCAACCTCATTACTGCTGCCACACTTGATGCCATCAATGATGCCACCTGGCTGATCCATCTCATTGAGGGTCTTCGTCTTTTTCTCTGACCCTCCATCTTACCTAGCATGACATCCTTTTCCAGCGACTGTTCCCTCCTTACAATATGTCCAAAGTATGAGAGACGAAGCTTAGCCATTCTGGCCTCCAAGGAGCACTCTGGCTGCACTTCTTCCAAAACAGATC